GCAGATGTTGCAAGTATATGGAATAGGTGGTGAGTTACTAAATGCTGTAAAGAGTTTTTATGAGGATAGTGAGGCTCAGGTTAGGGTGTGTAGAAGAGAGGGAGAATACTTCCCGGTAAAAGTAGGTCTTAGACAGGGATGTGTAATGTCACCATGGTTGTTTAATATATTTATAGATGGGGTTGTAAAAGAAGTAAATGCTAGGGTGTTCGGGAGAGGGGTGGGATTAAATTATGGGGAATCAAATTCAAAATGGGAATTGACAGTTACTTTTTGCTGATGATACTGTGCTTATGGGAGATTCTAAAAAAAAAAATTGCGAAGGTTAGTGGATGAGTTTGGGAATGTGTGTGTGAAGGTAGAAAGTTGAAAGTGAACATAGAAAAGAGTAAGGTGATGAGGGTATCAAATGATTTAGATAAAGAAAAATTGGATATCAAATTGGGGAGGAGAAGTATGGAAGAAGTGAATGTTTTCAGATACTAGGGAGTTGACGCGTCGGCGGATGGATTTGTGAAGGATGAGGTTAATCATAGAATTGATGAAGGAAAAAAGGTGAGTGGGGGCGTTGAGGTAAATGTGGAGCCCAAAAAACGTTATCTATGGAGGCAAAAAAAGGGAATGTATGAAAGTATGTAAGTACCAAACACTCTTATATGGATATAAAGCTTGGGTGGTAATGCCGCAGCAAGGAGACTGTTGGAGGCAGTGGAGATGTCCTGTCTAAGGGCAATGTGTGGTGTAAATATTAAAACAGAAAATTCGGAGTGTGGAAATTAGGAAAAGGTGTGGAGTTAAAAAAAGTATTAGAGGGCAGAAGAGGGGGTTGTTGAGGTGGTTTGGTCATTTAGAGAGAATGGATCAAAGTAGAATGACATGGAAAGCATATAAATCTATAGGGGAAGGAAGGAGGGGTAGGGGTCGTCCTCGAAAGGGTTGGAGAGAGTGGGTAAAGGAGGTTTTGTGGGCGAGGGGTTTGGACTTCCAGCAAGCATGCGGAGCATGTTAGATAGGAGTGAATGGAGACGAATGGACTTTGGGCCCTTGACGATCTGTTGGAGTGTGACAGGGTAATATTTAGTGAAGGGATTCAGGAAACCGGTTTATTTTCATATTTTCGGACTTGAGTCCTGGAAATGGGAATTACGATGCTGCACTTTAAAGGAGGGGTTTGGGATATTGGCAGTTTGGAGGGATATGTTGTGTATCTTTATACGTATATGCTTCTAAACTGTTGTATTCTGAGCACCTCTGCAAAAACAGTGATAATGTGTGAGTGTGGTGAAAGTGTTGAATGATGATGATGAAAGTATTTTCTTTTTGGGGATTTTCTTTTTTTGGGGTCACCCTACCTCGGTGGGAAACGGCCGACTTGTTGGGGAAAAAAAAAAAAAATGTGTGTGTAGTGTGACCTAAGTGTAAGTAGAAATAGCAAGATGTACCTGAAATCTTGCATGTTCATGAACAGAAAAAAGACACCAGCAATCCTACCATCATGCAAAACAATTACAGGCTTTCATTTTACACTCACTTTGCAGGATGGTAGTACCTCCCTGGGCAGTTGCTGTCTACCAACCTACTACCTATGAATATAATTATAATGCATTATTGCATCCAGTCTTTCTTTTTCCACTGAGAATGGAGTATTATTTTCTACTGATTATTTGTTTCTGGAATCTCGTATTCCACTTGAAGGTCTGTATTTTGCTGCATTAAATATCTTCTTGTTGATCACTGGTAGAATTTGTTGTTGGCACATTGGCCATTTCCCACCAAGGGAGGATGATCGAAAAAGAAGAAATGCTTCTTTTCATCATTACTCACTCCATCACTGTCTTGCCAGAGGCATACCAATACTTCAGTTAAAAAAACTGCAACATATCTCCACCCCTCCTTCAGAGTGCACTGTATTTCCCTCCTACATGACTCCAGTCTCTCCTCACTTTACAACATACTCGTTTAATGACCACTTGGACTTAAAACCAGCTCTCTGATCAGTGTGCATACCTAAGTAATGTATATTTGAGCTGATTTCCTCTATTCTGTTTATCACAATGTGGAGTATACCATTGTATAAACATTTAAAAATATATAAAAATGTTATAAATGGTGCAAAGGTAACATTAAAACAATGTCTAAGGATGGTTGACACAAGCCCACTTCCAGTATAGTATGCTCCTCGCTTAACGATCAATTTGTTTACCGACCTACTCTTAGGAACGAAACTCCGTTGTTAAGTGAGGAGAGACTGTATGTCCCTAAAGTCAGTTTCATTTTTTCACTTATTCCTTTCCATAAGTTATTGTTATCAGCAAATTTTATTATATGTATTTTGTGGGCAGAGATTTTTTTTTGATGTTATTGATATGTTTTAGATTACAAAGTGGGTAGTCTCCTTGTGGTACCCTTCTGTAAATATTGTTTCTTTTAAAGTAAGCTCTGTTTACACAAATAACTCGTACATAGGAGAGGGGGAGAGGGGAGGACACTGGCTTATGACGACGTTTCAGTCTAACTTGGACCATTTATAAGTAACACTGGAAATATTGTTGTAAGCTTCTCTTCTAATGTCCTTGTTATTTGTGTATTGTTCCAGTCATGGTATTGTGCCTTTTTGTTCTTTATGCTCTGTTAAAATTTCAAGTACAGTGGACCTCCGCATACCGTTGGCATTACATAACGTTAAATCCGCATACCGATACATTTTATCGCTAAGATTTTGCCTTGCATACCGCTAAAAAACCCGCTCAACGCTGTTCGTCCGAGACGCGTCTAATGTGCGGCCTGAGCCAGCCTCACATGTTCCGCCGGTGGCATTGTTTACCAGCCAGCCTCCGCGGTAACATCCAAGCATACAATCGGAACATTTCGTATTATTACAGTGTTTTTGGTGATTTTATCTGCAAAATAAGTGACCATGGGCCCCAAGAAAGCTTCTAGTGCCAACCCTACAGCAATAAGGGTGAGAGTGCGTGTCTCCGAGCTGGCCAGGTTGTATAATAAATCCCAATCAACCATCGCTACTATTGTGGGCAACAAAACAGCAATCAAGGAAGCTTTTCTTGCCAAAGGTTCAACTGTGTTTTCGAAACAGAGATCGCAAGTGATGGAAGATGTTGAGAGACTCTTATTGGTATGGATAAATGAAAAACAGATAGCAGGAGATAGCATCTCTCAAGTGATCATAAGTGAAAAGGCTAGGAAGTTGCATGAGGATTTAATTAAAAAAATGCCTGCAACTAGTGATGATGTGAGTGAATTTAAGACCAGCAAAGGTTGGTTTGAGAGATTTAAGAAGCGTAGTGGCATACATAGTGTGATAAGGCATGGTGAGGCTGCCAGTTCGGACCACAAAGCAGCTGAAAAATATGTGCAGGAATTCAAGGAGTACATAGACAGTGAAGGACTGAAACCTGAACAAGTGTTTAATTGTGATGAAACAGGCCTGTTTTGAAAGAAAATGCCCAAGCAGGACCTACATTACTCAGGAGGAAAAGGCACTCCCAGGACATAAGCCTATGAAAGACAGGCTTACTCTGTTGATGTGTTCCAATGCTAGTGGTGATTGCAAAGTGAAGCCTTTATTAGTGTATCACTCAGAAACTCCCAGAGCATTCAGGCAAAAGAATATCCTCAAGGCTAATTTGTGTGTGCTGTGGAGGGCAAACAGTAAGGCATGGGTCACTAGGGACTTTTTCTATGACTGGTTACACCATGCATTTGCCCCCAATGTGAAAGATTACCTAACTGAAAAGAAATTAGACCTTAAGTGCCTCCTGGTGTTACAGTGCCCCTGGTCATCCTACAGATGTGGCAGAGCGACTTTATGGGGACATTAGCTTCATTAAGGTGAAGTTTTTGCCTCCTAATACCACTCCTATCCTGCAGCCCATGGACCAGCAGGTTATTGCAAACTTCAAAAAACTGTACACAAAAGCTCTGTTTGAAAGGTGCTTTGTAGTGACCTCAGAAACTCAATTGACTCTAAGAGAGCTTTGGAGAGAGCACTTTAATATCCTCAATTGTGTAAACCTTATAGGTAAGGCTTGGGAGGGAGTGACTAAGAGGACCTTGAACTCTGCTTGGAAGAAACTGTGGCCAGAATGTGTAGACCAAAGGGATTTTGAAGGGTTTCAGGCTAACCCTGGAGGAGTATGCCAGTTGAGGAATCCATTGTGGCATTGGGAAAGTCCTTGGGGTTGGAGGTTAGTGGGGATGATGTGGAGGAGGACAATGAAGAACTAACCACTGATGAGCTGCTAGATCAACTTCAACAGCAAGAGGCCAGACCTGAGGAAACTGGTTCGGAGGAGGGGAGAGAGAAATTGAAGAAGTTGCCTACTTCAAAGATTAAGGAAATGTGTGGAATGTGGCTTAAAGTGCAAACCTTTTTTGATGACAATCACCCTAACACAGCTATTGCAAGCCGTGCTGGTGACTATTACACTGACACTGTTGTGAAACACTTTAGGGAAGTCATAAAGGAACGAGAGGTACAGGCCACTATGGACAAATATGTTGTGTGACAGAAGTCCAGTGACTCTGAAGCTGGTCCTAGTGGCATTAAAAGAAGGGAAGTAGCCCCAGAAAAGGACTTGCTACCTCAAGTGCTAATGGAAGGGGATTCCCCTTCTAAACACTAAGACTCTGTCCTCCTCCCATCCCATCAATCATCACCAGATCTTCAATAAAGGTAAGTGTTATGTAACTGTGCATGCCTTTTTCAGTTTGTGTGTATTAAAATTAATATTTCATGTGGTAGAATTTTTTTTTCATACTTTGGGGTGTCTTGCGCGAATTAATTTGATTTCCATTATTTCTTATGGGGAAAATTCATTCGCATAACGATAATTTCGCATAACAATGAGCTCTCAGGAACGGATTAATATCGTTATGCGGGGGTCCACTGTACCTGTTAAACTCGTATGCTTTTTGCCTGTGTAGTAGCAATAGTGTAGTAACTCCATAAATTTTTTACTCTAATTTCATTTTTTATGCAGGTTGAAGCAGGCCAGTACTGTACGTTTGTGGTACACAAAGATGGTGGAATCAGTGCTTGTGGTAAGGGAAGCTACGGTCGCCTAGGTCTGGGAGACTCTAACAACCAGGCCTCGCCCAGAAGACTCAATCTTGACACCAGAATAAGAAGAGTTTCATCTTCAAAGGGAAGCGACGGCCACACAATAGCACATTCGACATCTGGCCAGGTCTACACTTGGGGAGATGGTAATTATTGATTTGCAAAAAAATAAATACAAATTGTTAGTCTTTGCCAAACATTTATTTAATAAATTGTGAGTAGAAGTGGTTTTTTTTTTTTTTTCAAGAAGTCGGCCGTCTCCCACCGAGGCAGGGTGACCCAAAAAAGAAAGAAAATCCCCAAAAAGAAAATGCTTTCATCATTCAACACTTTCACCTCACTCACACATAATCACTGTTTTTGCAGAGGTGCTCAGAATACAACAGTTTAGAAGCATATACCTATAAAGATACACAACATACCCCTCCAGACTGCTGTATTTTAATATTATTGCTAAAACTCTAGAGGTCACTCAGCTTAGGGAGTGTTTTGAAACTTGATCCTCCATCTACAAAGTAAGAAATTGAACAGACCCACAAATGCACAATACCATGAATGGAACAGTACACAAGTAACCCGCATGAGTCGGACTGTAACATCGTCATAAGCTCCTCTCGCCTGTGCAGGTTATTTGTGCATCGAGAGATTGAAACCCTATTTTTGCAACCAGACTTGTTGAGGTGAAGGATAAAGGTGGATGAAAATTGTGACAATTACAAAAACATTTTTTTTTTTAAGTATGTACACGAGTCATTTCCCAAAGGTAGGGTGACCCAAAAAAAAGAAGAAAAATTTTCATCTTCACTCACTCCATCACTGTTTTGCCAGAGGTGTGCCCATACTACAGTTAAAACAAAAAAATGCAATGTATTTCCTCCCCTCCAGGGTTGATAATTTTGAGATTGTTTTGCAGAGGTGAGCGAGCAAATCTAAGGATACACTAGATTCAGTTCAAATTCTGATTTTTATTTCTTTTTATGACCTATAAGGATAATGTAGTTCACCTGTAATAAAACTTTGCTAGGCACCGAAGAAAGTCATATGCATTTTTTTATATTGTATCTTTATATATGCTTCTAAGCTGTTGTATCTGGGCACCTCTGCAAAAATAGTGATTATGTATGAGTGAGGTGAAAGTGTTGAATGATGATGAAAGTATTTTCGTTTTGGGGATTTTCTTTCTTTTTGGGTCCCCTTTCCTAGGTGGGAGACAGCCGACTTGTTGAGAGAGAAAAAAAAAAAAAGATTAAATACTGCGTACCTCATATTTTGATATTTAAGATATACCATAGATTTAAAGTGGAAATTAGTGTTAATGGAAAATATGAAACTGACTTACAAAAGTTTGTTGAAACTAAATAATTATTGATTATTTATTATTTTTTTATTAGCACACTGGCCGATTCCCACCAAGGCAGGGTGGCCCAAAAAAGAAAAACTTTCACCATCATTCACTCCATCACTGTCTTGCCAGAAGGGTGCTTTACACTACAGTTTTTAAACTGCAACATTAACACCCCTCCTTCAGAGTGCAGGCACTGTACTTCCCATCTCCAGGACTCAAGTCCGGCCTGCCGGTTTCCCTGAATCCCTTCATAAATGTTACTTTGCTCACATTCCAACAGCACGTCAAGTATTAAAAACCATTTGTCTCCATTCACTCCTATCACACACGCTCGCGCATGCCTGCTGGAAGTCTAATCCCCTCGCACACAAAACCTCCTTTATCCCCTCCCTCCAGCCTTTCCTAGGCCGACCCCTACCCCGCCTTCCTTCCACTACAGACTGATGCACTCTTGAAGTCATTCTGTTTTGCTTCATTCTCTCTACATGTCCGAACCACCTCAACAACCCTTCCTCAGCCCTCTGGACAACAGTTTTGGCAATCCTGCACCTCCTCCTAACTTCCAAACTATCGCTCCTCTTCCCTCCCGCACTCACTTCCCTGTAACCACAAACTTCTGCTGAACACACTAGCACTACATTTTTAAACTTACCCCATACCTCTTCGACCCCATTGCCTATGCTCTCATTAGCCCATCTATCCTCCAATAGCTGTTTATATCTTACCCTAACTGCCTCCTCTTTTAGTTTATAAACCTTCACCTCTCTCTTCCCTGATGTTTCTATTCTCCTTGTATCCCATCTACCTTTTACTCTCATTGTAGCTACAACTAAGAAGTGATCTGATATATCTGTGGCCCCTCACTAAACATGTACATCCTGAAGTCTACACAACAGTCTTTTATCTACTAATACATAATCCAACAAACTACTGTCATTTTGCCCTACATCGTATCTTGTATACTTATTTATCCTCTTTTTCTTAAGATATGTATTACCTATAACTAAACTCCTTTCTATACAAAGTTCAATCAAAGGGCTCCCATTATCATTTACACCTGGCACCCCAAACTTACCTACCACACCCTCTCTAAAAGTTTCTCCTACTTTAGCATTCAGGTCCCCTTCCACAATTACTCTCTCACTTGGTTCAAAGGTTCCTATACATTCACTTAATTAACATCTCCCAAAATCTCTCTCTCTCCTCTACATTCCTCTCTTCTCCAGGCGCATACACGCTTATTATGACCCACTTTTCGCATCCAACATTTACTTTAATCCACATAATTCTTGAATTTACACATTCATATTCTCTTTTCTCCTTCCATAACTGATCCTTAAACATTATTGCTACCCCTTCCTTAGCTCTAACTCTCAGATACTCCAGATTTAATCCCATTTATTTCCCCCCACCGAAACTCCCCTACCCCCTTCAGCTTTTTCGTTTAGGGCCAGGACATCCAACTTCTTTTCATTCATAACATCAGCAATCATCTGTTTCTTGTCGTCCGCACTACATCTACGCACATTCAAGCATCCCAGTTTTATAAAGTTTTTCTTCTTTTTTCTAGTAAATGTATACAGAAGGAGTTACTAGCCCATTGCTCCCGGCATTTTAGTTGCCTCATACGACATGCATGGCTTACGGAGGAAAGATTCTTTTCCACTTCCCCATGGATAATAGAAGAAATAAAGAAAAACAAGAGCTATTTAGAAAAAGGAGAAAAACCTAGATTTTTTTTTTCTCCAACAAACCGGCCGTATCCCACAGAGGCAGGGTGGCCCAAAAAGAAAAACAAAAGTTTCTCTTTTTAAATTTAGTAATTTATACAGGAGAAGGGGTTACTAGCCCCTTGCTTCCAGCATTTTAGTCGCCTCTTACGACACGCATGGCTTACGGAGGAAGAATTCTGTTCCACTTCCCCATGGAGAAAAAACCTAGATGTATGCATACAGTGGACCCCCGGTTTACGATCAGCTCCCAATGCGACCAATTATGTAAGTGTATTGATGTAAGTGCGTTTGTACGTGTATGTTTGGGGGTCTGAAATGGACTAATCTAATTCACAATATTCCTTATGGGACCAAATTCGTTCAGTAATGGCACCTGAACATACTTCTGGAATGAAATAATAATGTAAGCCGGGGGTCCACTGTATATATATGCATATGCGTGTCTGTAAAGTGTGACCAAAGTGTAAGTAGGAGTAGCAAGATATCCCTGTTATCTAGCATGTTTGAGACAGAAAAAGACACCAGGTAAAATAATTTTTTTTACATGAAACTGCTAGGAAAGATGAAACCAGTAGATTTTGCACCGTAGGAAGAACTGGTAAGAGATTTTTGTAGTTCAAAATGAAAGGCAGAGAAGGCAACTTGATGTTGGGCTACAGCAGTTACCAAGGTTATACTGCTTATATAAATAAGAGAAAACAATTTTAAGAATCTGAATAACCTCCCATGAGTTCAGGAGACAGATTTGCACTTTTTGAGTTTCTTTTTCAGTTGCAGTACAGAATTTTTTTCTTCCTTTTATATGAGTGTGTTTGGTATTATTATTTCTTTTAATGATCAAATATTTTAAAAATATAATATATACATTGTTCAGTAGGAGTGAATGGAGACAAATGGTATTTGGGACCTGACGAGCTGTTGGATTGTGGGCAGGGTAATATTTAGTGAAGGGATTCAGGGAAACTGGTTATTTTTATATAGCCGGACTTGAGTCCTGGAAATGGGAAGTACAATGCCTGCACTCTAATGGAGGGGTTCAGGATATTGGCAGTTTCGAGGGATATGTTGTGTATCTTTATATGTATATGCTTCTAAACTGTTGTATTCTGAGCACTTCTGCAAAAACTGTGATTGTGTGTGAGGTGAAAGTGTTGAATGATGATGAAAGTATTTTCTTTCTGGGGATTTTTTTTCTTTTTTGAGTCACCCTGCCTCGGTGGGAGACGGCCGACTTGTTGAAAAAAAAAAATATACATTGGACTAGGATGCAGATATTTACATAACTAGCATAGGCATTATGAATTGGGCACATGCAGACAGCAGATAGTTACAAACCACAGACTTGTGTTCCCTCAAATAGGTTGACTCCCAGGTATATCAGTTAAGAGATTTTATTTGTTACAAGGAAATACTACTGCAATTAATGTGGAATAAAGCATTATGGTATTAGTGTGTGATTATTTATTGTTGCTACAGGAGCAGAGGCTCGGTGTTGTATCTTTATTATTTCGTCTACTAGAGGAAGTCCTGAAGTTATGAACACATTGGGGATATATAATTATCCATGGGGAAGTGGAACAGAATTCTTCCTCTGTAAGCCATGCGTGTCGTAAGAGGCAACTAAAATGCCGGGAGCAAGGGGCTAGTAACCCCTTCTCCTGTATATATTACTAAATTTAATAGGAGGAACTATTCGTTTTTCCTTTAGGGCCAAACCCCCTACGGGGTATCTGGGAAAAAAATAAAACCCATTTCCCCATTTGAGCTCTTTTTCTAGGTTTTTTATAGTAAAAAAATAAAAAATCACCCTTTTCAAAAAAATTAGGGTTTTCCTTGTATCAAATGCCCCCAAGAAAAAGAAAATAAAACCCCCAAAAAATACTATACAAAAGAAGCCCAAACCAAAAGGGGGTTTTTAAATTAAAAAAAAAAAAAAAGGGGTCCTTTTTTTTCCCCCCCAAATTATGCACTGCGGGGCCCGGGAAATTTTTTTTTAGGGGGCCCAAAACTGACCACACAACCCTTTCCTTTCAAGGGGGGGTCTAAACTTTTCCTGCTTGTTTTTAAA